AGAGCTGCAGGCAGACACACACCGTTAACCCTGTCGTACCTTGCAGCAAAAAAAATCATCAAAATAATCACGTCGCACACGGCAACCCACGGGATGGTAACAGCACGGGACACTCGACGCAACCGAATTAATAATTAACTTCGCCATCAAGATAACATCCCCATGCCGCAACGCATAAACACTATTTGACACAGAGCAAACACAAGCAGCTCCGCACGTTCGAGACATAACAAACAATCGCACCCCGGCACAAGCAAGATGGGTGAGGTGTGTGTTAGGGCCGGGTGCATATCGTCACGACTTGCCCGTGGCTGCAGCGAGCAGAGGACGGCAGGGTGGTGACTTGAGACGCCTCGAAGAACTCGGACGGTGAGCGCGGCGTCCTCCCGCGACTGCTCCGGTGTCTCGCACACGAGCTAGGACGGGGGTGCTCCCGCCCCGGCAGCAGCAGCAGCGTCGGCGTCCTCTCCTTGTGGCTCCTTCCCGCAAAACAGCGGCTCAGCAGCAGGAAGCACACCACGCGGCGCCTCCAAGATGGCAGCGCACGGCCGCCTCTCCGCCGCGATGCTCAAGATGGCGGTGGCCTGCCACGTGGTCGCTGGAGGATGTGTGCCGGCGGCCGTCTCTTCGTCGTCGGAAGACGTAACAAGTGGGTTACGCTTTTTCAAGTTCTCGGCCATCTTCCTCGATGTTATTTTGCCTTGAAAAAGTCCACTTTTGACTCCAGTGTAATAAAAGACTCCGTCAGGCACTGCTTGTCTCCGTTGGTCTTTTATTCAAGTTCTTTCTCCGCATCCCGCTGGTCTCCTCCGCGGACCAGCGTCGTCTCGTGCGCGCACCCGCACGCGCTTCCTCCTCAGCTCCTCCACTCGTTCTCACACCCCGCTGGTCCTGACAAGGGACCAGCGTCTCCTCTCGCGTGCCCCGCACGCTCCTCTTGCGTGCCCCGCACGCTCCTCTCGCGTGCCCCGCACGCTCCTCTTGCGTGCCCCGCACGCTCCTCTCGCGTGCCACGCACGCACCTCCATTAGCTCCTCCTCGTGCGCGCCCCGCATGCGCTCTCCCGTCAGCTCCTCTCCCGTCAGTCGCTCCGCTCCTCCCCGCTCCGCACACCGCTGGCCGACGGTGTGCCGCCGAAGCCCCATCAGCCACGTGGCTGATGGCGCGGCGGCCACCCAACGTGGTCCCGCTTCTTCACTCCATCAACTGACCCTAATCTCTTCCGGGCTCCCCTCTATATCCTCTCTCCCACGTGACCTTGACTCCTCCCCTTCCAGATCGTCAGATCCGGCTTTCCCATACTGCCCTGCTGGCTCCACCCCCATTCACCTCGCTTCCCATTGGAGCCGAGGTGAACGGCGGCACCTCCCACACGCACCCCATACCGTGTTCCGCCCCAAATACCCCGGGTCGTGTGATTGGGCCAGAGCCCAGCAGCAACCCCATTTACGCTCGCATTACACATATATACAGACACAGACACAATATCAACTCAGAAATCATTGGAAAGATGTCATCAACTATTTTGGGTCATGACTTGATTTGTGTTTTCGTGTCAACCTCTACCTTCAGCAGTGTGGATGTGTGTAGGGAGGTGCAATGCCCCCCCCCCCCTCGATCTCTACCCCCCTCTTTCTCCCCCTATCTCTACCCCCTTCCTACCCCCATTGTCTACTCCTCCATTAAATTTCGATTTAAAGCTTTCGTGACTGCAGGGATTCATCTTCTTGGTTCTTTCGGTAAAGTCACGTAGAAGGGAAATAATAAAATAATAAAAATAAAACATAATAAAATACAATTCTCACGACGTTTCGGCCACAACGCAAGCAGCCGTCCTCAGGTGTCTTGTGTTTCCGACAGACCTGTTCTTCACCTACATTCTTAGACCTCCTTTGCCAGTACCAAAATATAATAATAGGGGGGTTTTCCCCTTTTTTCTGCCAACAAAACTGAAATATTTTTACAAGGATTCATGTCTGCATTAACCACAATACTTGCAGTCAAAATTCAAACAAAAACACACTGATAATAAATGCATTGTCCTTAAAACTGATTGGTTCACACCAGAGACAGCTTTCTTTTGAGCCTTGTCTCAATTGGTGCTCGACCAGAGGACGCCAAAAGGCACCAATTGAGACTGGGCTCAAAAGAAAGCTGTCTCTGGTGTGGACCAATCAGTTTCAAGGACAATGCATATATTATCAGTGTGTTTTTTGTTCAGAGTTGTTTCTTTTTGTTTGCATTTTGACTGCTTGTGTTGTGGTTATTGCAAACATGATGCCTTGTATAAAGGTGTCAGTTTTTGTACCAGTTACAAGGGTAAAAAGCTATTACTAAACATAAAGTAGTGAGAAATGCAATGATGAGAGATAAAATGACGTCACGCACCTGGGGGGGGGGGTCAGACATTTGTGACGATGTGTGACGAGAAGGGGGGGGGGTTTGAGAAATGTGACGTCACATAAAAATGCGCAACTTTAAATAAATAAAATAGACTTTTTAATACATGTTGTCTCCTACAACATCATTGTGCAGCGCCACATTAAATACGCACTACAATGACAATAGTAGTTTAAAGCGATTTGAAGCATGTTTTATATTAGGGGGGGGCAGAGCTTTGTGACGTCATATTTGAGGGGGGGGTCTGACTTTTTGTGACGCCGTGTGACTCAGGGGGGGGGGGGGAGGAGGGTCAAAAATCGTCAAAAATCGCGTGACGTCATTTATGGACGGCCCCTAAAGTGATGAGAGATGAGACTTCCCTACCCCGTATAATTTCTGAAATCTGTCACCCCCCTGCCAACATTTGTATATTGGTTTAGCCATGTTTGTTTGTTGTAGTACAGAGTTAGACTGATGGCCTTAATCTAAGTTGTCTTGTGGTTGTTGTTGGTTGTTTGACTTGCATCCCACTGGGATTTTTGCACACAGCGTTGGTGTACGGTGATTTTTTTCTGCAATGTTTTGCTGTCTTTTCTTGGATTTCTGTTTGCACTTAGTCACATATTCACTTTAAGATGTTTTTTGTTCATGTTTTTGTTTTTTGTTTGTTGCGGTTGCACCCGATTCAAGAGCCGAATGGCTCACAGGGCTATACCTAATAAATGAACTTGAACTTGATTTGTTCTGGATTTGAAGCTTTCGTGACTGCAAGGAATCACAATCGTAGGTTTTTTCGGTAAAGTCACGTAGAGTAAAAAATAAAAATTAATAAAAGTAATAACAGAAATAAAATAAAATAATAAAAATCACGATGTTTCGGAGGCAACACAAGTCTCCGTCATCATGTGGGACCGTCACAGCTAGATTTGCTGTATCAAGTGAGGCATTAAATTTCAAGATACAAGTTCTTAAAGACAAGTTAAGGGGGAGGGGGGAGGAGCTTATCTGAGTGTGGTAGACAATGAATGGAGCGTAATTCTAGATTTGAAGCTTTCGTGACTGCAAGGATTCATATTCTTGGGTTTTTTCGGTAAAGTCACGTAGGTAAAAAATTAAAATTAATAAAAGTAAAAATAAAAATCACGACGTTTCAGAGGCAACACAAGCTTCCATCTTCAGGTGGAACGTCACAGCACGACTGCTGTATCAAGTGAGAGAAATTCCAAGAACACAGTATTTTTAAGCGATGGGTATTACCTTTTTCGATTTAAAGCTTTCGTGACTGCAGGGATTCATCTTCTTGGTTCTTTCGGTAAAGCCACGTAGAAGGGAAACAATCAAAATAATAAAATAAAACATAATAAAATTATTCTCACGACGTTTCAGCCACAACGCAAGCAGCCGTCATCAGGTGAAGACCAGGTCTGTCGCGGAGACAGCGTCTGAATGTCTCCCCGACAGACCTGGTCTTCACCTGATGACGGCTGCTTGCGTTGTGGCCGAAACTTCGTGAGAATTATTTTACGTTTTATTTTATTATTTTTATTGTTTCCATTCTACGTGACTTTACCGAAAGAACCAAGAAGAGGGGGTATTACCTTGTTATCGCGGCATCTCTCGTTGTCTGTTCAAAACTCTAACAGATAGGTGGAATTCCTCCCCGTAGAGGGTATTAATTCTAGATTTGAAGCTTTCGTGACTGCATGGATTCATATTTATTAGGTTTCTTCGGTAAAGTCATGTAGGTGAAAAATTAAAATTAATTAAAGTAAAATAAAATAAAAATCACGACGTTTCGGAGGGCAACACAAGCGTCATGATTTTTATTTTTATTTTACTTTTATTAATTTATTTTTTTTACCTACGTGACTTTACCGAAATAACCTACGAAATAGAAAATGATAATTTTGAGCTTTCGTGACTGCAGGAAATACTCTTTGGTTCTTTCGGTAAAGTCACGTATAAAGATAAAATAATAAATTAAATCCTAGCATACGACGTTTCGATTGCACAACACAAGCAATCATCATCAGGTATAAATGAAAAAGAAACACAAATCTAGTATACTTAGAAATGTAATGTAATATTATTAAGTATACGAGATTTGTGTTTCTATTTCATTTATACCTGATGATGATTGCTTGTGTTGCAATCGAAACGTCGTAGTATGCTATTATTTAATTTATTATTTTATCTTTATACGTGACTTTACCGAAAGCTCCAAATTTACATTTTCAATTTCTTAGGTTTTTTCGGTAAAGTCACGTAAAAAATTAAAATTAATAAAAGTAAAATAAAAATAAAATAAAAATCACGACGCTTGTGTTCCCTCCGAAACGTCGTGATGTTTATTTTATTTTACTTTTATTAATTTTAATTTTTTTTCTTTATACGTGACTTTACCGAAAGAACCAAAGACTAAATAGAAAATGGAACGTATTGGAGGGAGGGGTGGGAGGGGCTAAAAGTGTTCGCAAGTCGAGGAGTTGCACCACCACCACCGCCATCACCACCACCACCCCCCCGGCATGTTGCGTCGATTCCTCGGAATCGAATTGCTTTGAATCTATCGGAAGAATCGATTCCTCTCCCCCCACTCACCACCACCACCACATCCACCATTGCTCAGTCGCTTCAGGTCACGCATCAGCAGACAGCAAGAAGCAGGCAACAGTCAGCAATCAGCAGGCGTTGGCTTCGTGTGAACTCTTCCGAAGACGGCGCGCGGGCGATCGGGACTTCTATTCGGTAAACTTTGAACATTGCGCAAAATCGTTGAAATAATTTAAATTAACAAAAAAGTTACGGTGTTGGCGGCGGCGTTCCCCGGTCACCGGGGTGCCCGGGGCCTGTCGCCCTGGTCGGTAGGGGATTCTAGGCGAGCGCGGGGGGCCCGAGAGCCCGTCGGAGGCCTATAGGGGGAGGGGTGAAAAAAAGTTTTAAAAGTTACATTGACGATCAAACAGCAGCAGTAGCATCATCATCATAATCAGCAGCAGTAGCATCAGCAGTAGTGTCAGCAGCAGTGTCATCAGCAGCAGCAGTAGTGTCATCAGCAGCAGTAGCATCACCAGCAGCAGTTGCATCAGAAGCTTTAACAGCAGCAGTGTCGTCAGCAGCAGTAGCGTCAGCAGCAGTGTCGTCAGCAGCAGTTGTGTCAGCAGCAGCAGTAGCATCAGCAGTAGCTTCATCAGCAGCAGTAGCATCAGCAGTGTCATTAGCAGCAGTGTTAGCAGCAGTAGCATCACCAGCAGTGTCATCAGCAGTAGCGTCAGCAGCAGTGTCATCAGCAGCTTCATCAGCAGTGTCATCAGCAGCAGTGTCATCAGCAGCAGTGTCATCAGCAGCAGTGTCATCAGCAGCAGTGTCATCAGCAGCAGTGTCATCAGCAGCAGTAGCATCAGCAGCAGTAGCATCAGCAGTGTCAGCATCAGCAGTGTCAGCAGCAGCAGTGTCAGCAGCAGCAGTGTCAGCAGCAGTAGCATCAGCAGCAGTAGCATCAGCAGCAGTGTCATCAGCAGCAGTAGCATCAGCAGCAGTAGCATCAGCAGTGTCATCATCAGCAGTGTCATAAGCAGTGCCATCAGCAGCAGTGTCACCAGCAGCAGTGTCATCAGCAGCAGTTGCTTGATCAGCAGCAGTGTCATCAGCAGCAGTGTCATCAGCAGCAGTGTCATCAGCAGCAGTGTCATCAGCAGCAGTGTCATCAGCAGCAGTGTCATCAGCAGCAGTGTCATCAGCAGCAGTAGCATCAGCAGCAGTAGCATCAGCAGCAGTAGCATCAGCAGCAGTAGCATCAGCAGTGTCATCAGCAGCAGTTGTGTCAGCAGCAGCAGCAGTAGCATCAGCAGTAGCTTCATCAGCAGCAGTAGCATCAGCAGTGTCATCAGCAGCAGTGTTAGCAGCAGTAGCATCACCAGCAGTGTCATCAGCAGTAGCGTCAGCAGCAGTGTCATCAGCAGCTTCATCAGAAGCAGTGTCATCAGCAGCTTCATCAGCAGCAGTGTCATCAGCAGCAGTGTCATCAGCAGCAGTGTCATCAGCAGCAGTAGCATCAGCAGTGTCAGCATCAGCAGTGTCAGCAGCAGCAGTGTCAGCAGCAGCAGTAGCATCAGCAGTTGCTTCATCAGCAGCAGTGTCATCAGCAGCAGTAGCATCAGCAGCAGTAGCATCAGCAGTGTTATCAGCAGTGTCATAAGCAGTGCCATCAGCAGCAGTGTCACCAGCAGCAGTGTCATCAGCAGCAGTTGCTTCATCATCAGCAGTGTCATCAACAGCAGTGTCATCAGCAGCAGTGTCATCAGCAGCAGTGTCAGCAGCAGCAGTGTCATCAGCAGTAGTAGCATCAGCAGTGTTAGCAGCAGTAGCATCAGCAGTTGCTTCATCAGCAGCAGTGTCATCGGCAGCAGTGTCATCGGCAGCAGTGTCATCAGCAGTATCATCAGCAGCAGTAGCATCAGAATCTTCATCATCAGCAGTGTCATCAGCAGTGTCATCAGCAGCAGTAGCATCAGCAGCAGTAGCATCAGCAGTGTCATCAGCAGCGTCATCAGCAGCAGTAGTGTCATCAGCACCAGTGTCATCAGCAGTAGCAGCATAAACTCAGCAGCAGTAGCATCAGCAACAGTGTCATCAGTAACAGCAGTAGCAGCATTAAGAGCAGCATGAAGATCATCAGCAGCATCAGCAGCAGTGTCATCAGCAGCAGTAGCATCAGCAGCATAAACTCCGCAGCAGTAGCATCAGCAACAGTGTCATCAGTAGCAGTAACAGCAGTAGCAGCATGAAGAGCAGCAGCATGAAGATCAGCAGCAGCAGTGTCATCAGCAGCAGTGTCATCAGCAGCAGTGTCATCAGCAGTAGCAGTATAAACTCAACAGCAGTAGCATCAGCAACAGTGTCATCAGTAGCAGTAAGAGAAGTAGCAGCATGAAGATCAGCAGCAGCAGCAGTAGTGTCATCAGCAGCAGCTTCATCAGCAGTGGCAGCATAAACTCAGCAGCAGTGTCATCAGCAGTTGTCATCAGCAGCATCCGCAATAGTAGCACCAGCATCATCAGCATCATCATCATCAGCAGTAGCGTCACACAGCAGCAGCAGCAGCATCATCAGCAGTAACAGCAGCATCAGCAGTAACAGCAGCATCAGCAGTAGCAGCAGCATCAGCAGTAGCGTCACACAGCAGTAGCAGTAGCATCATCAGCAGTAGCAGCAGCATCATCAGCAGTAGCAGCATCAGCAGTAGCAGCAGCATCAGCAGTAGCGTCACACAGCAGCATCATCAGCAGTAGCAGCAGCATCAGCAGTAGCGTCACACAGCAGCAGCATCAGCAGTAGCAGCAGCATCATCAGCAGTAGCAGCATCAGCAGTAGCAGCAGCATCAGCAGTAGCGTCACACAGCAGTGTCATCAGCAGCATCATTTCCAACACCGTGGTGCTGATGATGATGATCGTGATGGTGTTTGTCGATGATTTCTGTTGCTGATGTGTGATCCTATAGCCTAGGGACACCCCCAGTGGCAGCTGTCCCTGTGTGTGAGTCTGCTGTCAGTAGTAGTAGGGGTAGCGATGATTGCTGCTACTACTGCCGTGTGATTCCTATAGCCTAGGTGCACACCCAGTGGCAGCTATCCCTGTGTGTGAGTCTGCTGTCAGTAGTAGTAGTAGGGGTAGCGATGATTGCTGCTGCTACTACTGCCGTGTGATCCTATAGCCTAGGGGCACACCCAGTGGCAGCTGTCCCTGTGTGTGAGTCTTCTGTCAGTAGTAGTAGGGGTAGCGACGATTTGCTGGATTGTTTTCCCTGTCTGCGTGTCTGTCCCGTGTGTTTCAGGAGTTGGCCATCATGCTTCGGCTGTTGCTGCTTGTGCTGGTGGTTCGGCCTGCACTGATGGAGGTGTTCACATCAATAGGTGACGCACGCGCAAACACGCACACACGCAAATACGCACGCACACAAACACGCACGCACACACGCACACAAACACACACACGCGCAAACACGCACACACACGCAAACACGCACGCAAACACGTACGCAGACGCACGCAAACACGCACGCAAACACACGCAAACACGCACACACACATGCACACAAACACGCACACGCAAACACGCACGCAAATACGCACACACACAAACACGCAAACGCACATACACGCAAACGCACATACACGCAAACACACGCACGCACGCAAACACGCACAAACACACACGCACACACACGCACACACACGCACACAAACACGCACACAAACACGCACACACAAACACGCAAACACACAAACACACACACACACGCACAAACACGCACACACACGCAAACACGCACGCAAACACGCGCAAACACGCGCACAAACACGCACGCAAACACGCACGCAAACACGCACGCACACAAACACGCACGCACACAAACACGCACACAAACAAACACGCACACACGCACATACACGCACATACACGCACATACACGCACATACACGCACATACACGCACACGCACACACACACGCAAACACACACACGCAAACACACGCGCACGCACACACGCGCACATGCAAACGCACAAACACGCAAACGCACAAAACAAAGACAAAGGTCCCTTGTGTAGCCTTTAACAGACTGTCGGGGCAATCGCTGTTAGCCAGATTTTTTTTTCGAAGGTAAATAATCGAAAACGTAAAATTTAGCACGGGGCACGCGAGCACAGCCACCTTGTTTCTTCAAACTTATCTATGAACATCATTTGTTTTTTTTTACGACAGGGAACCAAGGTGGAGTGGGGTGGGGAGGGGGTGTCCAGGCTGCTGCAGTAAGCGGCAGAGGTCGCAAACGGGTTTTTATTCCGTACCCGTACCTGGCCACACCAGGGTCGCAAATGGGTACCCATACCCTGCCGGGTACGGGTACCCGTACCCTACCCGTACCCTACCCGAAATGAGTGACAAACGGTGACTCACCAGTGACTCACGGCCTACCCGTACCCGGCCGCACCAGGGTCGCAAACGGGTACCCATACTCGGCCGGGTACGGTTACCCGTTCCCTACCCGTGCCCTACCCGAAATGAGTGACAAACGGTGACTCACCAGTGACTCACGGCCTACCCGTACCCGGCCGCACCAGGGTCGCAAATGGGTAACCGTACCCGTACCTGGCCGGGTACGGGTAGCCGGGTATTGGGTAGGGTACGGGTATCGGGTACCCGGTTGCGACCTCTGGTAAGCGGTTAAGAACCACTGCTCCAGATGATGTACAATGCAGGGTAACAGATAATAATACTCCAAAGCTGCAGACGCAATAACGAATGTCACGATAATTGTTTTTTTACCCTTCTATCTGGCAACAAAATTGACACCTTTTTTTTACAAGGAGTCATGTTTGCATAGACCACAATACCTGCGGTCGTAATGCAAACAAAAAACATAACTCTGATAATGTATGCACTGTCCTTGGTCTATGCTAACATGACTCCTTGTAAAAAAAGGTGTCAGTTTTGTTGCCAGATAGAAGGGTAAAAAATCAATTATCATTTTTTTTACTGGCAAATGAGGTTCCAATGGTGTCAATGCTTACCCCGAGCTCTCATACTCTGATGGTGCATTGTCTTTGAGTTGTGCACCTTTTGGCGTCATCTGGTCCAACACCATGTGAGACTAGGCTCTAAGAAAAGCTGTCTCGGGTGTGAACCAATCAACTTCAAGGACAGTGCACATTATCAGAGTTATGTGTTTTTTGTTTGCATTATGACTGCACGTAGTATGGTCTATGTTAACATGACTCCTTGTAAAAAAAAGTGTCAGTTTTGTTGCCCGATAGAAGGGTAAAAAATCAATTATCATTTTTTTTACTGGCAAATGAGGTTCCAATGGTGTCAATGCTTACCCCGAGCTCTCGTACTCTGATGGTGCATTGTCTTTGAGTTGTGCACCTTTTGGCGTCATCTGGTCCAACACCATGTGAGACTAGGCTCTAAGAAAAGCTGTCTCGGGTGTGGACCAATCAACCTCAAGGACAGTGCACATACATTATCAGAGTTATGTTTTTGTTTGCGTTATGGCTGCAGGTATTGTGGTCTATGCAAACATGACTCCTTGTAAAAAAAGGTGTCAGTTTTGTTGCCAGATAGAAGGGTAAATAACCAATTATATTTTTTACTGGCAAATGAGGTTCCAATGGAACGAATGTCACGTTAATAGCTTCGAAAAGTCAAAAAAGTCTCCCCGCCTGTTTCGCCATCTTCCCCAGGTGGTCTCCTGAGCCCGGAGGCACATTCCTCGTGGCTGTCGTTGCAGATTCTCAGAAGCTTGAAAAACATTTTTTGTTTAAGCACCCTGTACATCTCTGTGTGTCTTGATTTCAAGCTGTTCGTGATTGCAGGGATTCATTTTCTTGGTTCTTTCGGTAAAGTCATCACGTTAGAAGGGAAATAATAAAGTAAAATAATATAAAACAATAAGAAATTCTCACGACGTTTCGACTGCAACACAAGCAATCATCATCAGTAAAGTCACGTAGGTAAAAAAATGAAATTAAAATTAATAAAAATAAAATAATAAAAATCACGACGTTTCTGAGGCAATGCAAGCTTCCGTCTTCAGGTGAAACCGTCACAGCAAAATATCTGTATCTTCTTTTATTTTTATTAATTTTAATTTCATTTTTTACCTACACGGTGACTTTACCGAAAAAACTAAGAGCATGAATCCTTGCAGTCACGAAAGCTTCAAATCTAAAATCATCATCAGGTGTGAAATCCACGGCAAGAATTTTTTTTTTTCAAATTTTCTTGCTGTGGATTTCACACCTGATGATGATTGCTTGTGTTGCAATCGAAACGCCGTGAGAATTTTTATTGTTTTATATTATTTTACTTTATTATTTTCCTTCTACGTGACGACTTTACCAAAAGAACCAAGAAGATGAATCTCTGTGTGTGTTTGTGGAGCTGAGTGGACTTGCCGATGACTGGTACCAGCGATGTCAAGATCGGCCTCTGTGGAGGAGGCTCATGAACGACGCTGTGCTGCTACTGGGCAGTGCCAGGCTAGGTGCACAGTGAGGCTACTGGGCAGTTGGAGGCAGTCGCCCTCCCAACAACAACGGAGGGCGGAGGAGCGACGCTCACAACAACGAGCGGAGCGCCGGGTGGCTAAAACGCAGCGAGTTGGCACAGTAGGGGGGTACAGCTGGTGGTGGTGCATCTACTGGTCATCTCAGTCAGTCGACCCATGGCACCTGCAGGGTCTGTCCCGTGCCCTCCTCATGCACCTAGCCTGGCACAGCAGCACTCAACCCATGGCACCTGCAGGGTCTGCCCCGTGACCTCCTCCTCATGCACCTAGCCTGGCACAGCAGCAGTCAACCCATGGCACCTGCTGGGTCTGCCCCGTGACCTCCTCCTCATGCACCTAGCCTGGCACAGCAGCAGTCAACCCATGGCACCTGCTGGGTCAGTCCCGTGACCTCCTCCTCCTGCACCTAGCCTGGCACAGCAGCAGTCAACCCATGGCACCTGCTGGGTCTGTCCCGTGAACTCCTCCTCATGCACCTAGCCTGGCACAGCAGCACTCAACCCATGGCACCTGCAGGGTCTGTCCCGTGACCTCTTCCTCATGCACCTAGCCTGGTACAGCAGCAGTCAACCCATGGCACCTGCTGGGTTTGTCCCGTGACCTCCTCCTCCTGCACCTAGCCTGGCACAGCAGTCAACCCATGGCACCTGCAGGGTCTGTCCCGTGACCTCATGCACCTGGCCTGGTACAGCAGCAGTCAACCCATGGCACCTGCAGGGTCTGCCCCGTGACCTCCTCATGCACCTAGCCTGGCACAGCAGCAGCAGTCAACCCATGGCACCTGGAGGGTCTGTCCCGTGACCTCCTCCTCATGCACCTAGCCTGGCACAGCAGCACTCAACCCATGGCACCTGCAGGGTCAGTCCCGTGACCTCCTCCTCATGCATCTGTAAAGTAGTAACTCGGCAGGAGACGACTTCACGGGTAGCACACTCTTTATTTTCACCAACTTGTAGTTACACGGATGACTAACACCCTACTTCGTTACACGGGTGACCAACACCCACTTAGCTACACGGGTGACGGACACCCACTCAGCTACACGGGTGACTAACACCCACTCAGCTACACGGGTGACCAACACCCACTCAGCTACACGGGTGACCAACACCCACTCAGCTACACGGGTGACCAACACCCTCCTTAGCTACTCGGGTGACTAACACCCACTCAGCTGTACTGACACGGGCTCTTATGCCTCGTAGCCTTCCGGGACACACCCAGCCGGGGTGCCCGTCTCGGCTCTGGGTACCACCGTCCCGACCCACACGGGCGTCGGACTACGGTCCCCCAGTCTCGGCTCCGAGCCACACAGGGCCCCGGTCCCCACAAGGACGGCGGGACTAGGGGTCTCGGGCCACTACCTCCTCCACCCCGTCTTCGGTCTTCAACTGGTTAACACTGACCACGAGTGCTCTCGCGCGTCCCCCTTTATACCCCTCCTGCGGACGTCGCTGAGAGCACCCACTTATCTGACCAATCACTGCGCACTCGCTACGATCCTCTTTTCCCAGCTTGTGTGAGCGCGCCTTACCACCGGCGCGCGCGTCCATGCCACGCCCACATTGCGTGCCCAACCCCGCGCCCCGTGATCCATCACAGCCGGCGCACGTCAATACCACCACTACATCACCCCCTACCACATAGCTCGCAGCCGACCCGGCTGCTAATAAAACATACAACACCCCTTCACCCCCATGTGTGCCCCGTAACATAACACAAACCCTAACAACACAACATGAACACCGCAATCCGCAAAACCCAGCAACCCCCACACCCACAACAAGAACAACATGCACAATCCGGCGAGTGGCAACGATACTGTGTATGCGGAAAGAGTA